ATCTCTTTGGGAAGGCAAATAAGACAGGTTTGTGTGTGCATGTGGCATGTGCCAGGATGCTCTAAAAGCTGGAAATGACTGAGTAGAGGTGCTGGAGCACTTATGTAAAATATCTAAATAAATCTTTAATATTTCTAATTGCAAATGTACATAAATTGCACAGCCACATCATTTCTTTGAACACCAACAACTTTCTCTGTACATTATTACATAGTTTAAAAGGAGCTGAAGGAGATTCAGCAAACACTTCCACTTTGCATTTTTGTTTTTTAAACATACTTACAAAAGAAGATTTGTTTTTCTTTATAAGAGGATATAAAACATAGCGACTGCTTATCAGGAACAAGTATCAGCCTAAGCAGATATACAGAGAGAGGTATATCTTAAGACACAGTGATGTATGATAAAGGAATATGTGAACATGGAGGCTGCACTCTGGGGTACTGGTAGCTGATGCAGAGCCACATGGCATTTACAGCAATGTCACAGCTCAGGTGATCTGTGAAAGTCAATGCTTGAACGTGACACCCTTTTCAGAAGCATGGTTGTTTCTGGATGTTGTGCAACGCCCTCAGGATTGGATTTGGTTTGGACAGCCCATGAGCTGCATGTTCTCATGCTGCTGTTGTCCTCCCGCTCCCCCACGGGTGATTTTCCCCAAGGGAGAAGGAAAAGGCAGAAGTTTGTCTGTGTGGGGTCAGAGCAGGGCAGGTGCCACTGTCTGAGCCTTCTGGCTGAGCAGTCTCCTCTGAAATGGCCCTGAGGCTCAGAGACTGGCTGGGGATGGGCGGGGACTGTCCCTTCCTGTGGCCACTGAAGGGAGCTCCTGGTGGCCCTGAGGCCGTGGCTCTGCCCCACACCAGCTCCCAGTCCTGGCCAGCCTGGATTGCTTTGAACACAAAGCTTGGGGAGGAAGTGACCCCAGCAGTCACTGCAGGTGGGAAGGACAGAGTGTCCACCTAGGAACAGTGCCACAGGTGTTTCCTTTGGACTTCTGCTTTGTAGTGTCCAGGCAGAGCTGTGTGAGGGACAGGGCAGGGATGTGGTGGAGCTGCTGGACCCACTGGTCACAGGCTGCTGTCAGAACGGCCTCGGCCCAAGGCTGCTCCCCCTGCCCTGGGATTGCTGGGCAAATGAGCCCCTTTCAGATCAGACCCCTGGGCCACAGCCTGTGGCTGTCCTGGCTGAACACATCAATGCATCTGCCATCTGTGACTGGAAATCCTCTTTCTCCTTGTCCATCACAGAACAGACCTCAGCACATTTTCTGTTACATCTGGGTGTGGACATTAGGAACAGGAAAAAGCTTATGAGCTATCTAAACTTTGGGGATGATTGATTCCTTGCTGATTGCTTTCCTAAGAGAGCCTGTGACACCTCACTGAGGTCCAGCAAGTCCCTTTGCCCTTTAGGAGTATTCATAGTAGCAGAACTTGTGTCCTGCAACCTTGCAGCAACCTCTGGGACTGGCTCCCAGGCCAGAGGGTTCCACATGTTCTCACAGTGCAATCAGTGCTTTACAGCTGCAAAAGCAGAAAACAAAACCAACCAGACTCAAATGACAATGCAAAGTGACACTGGACTCTTTGGATGGCGGCAGGATTTGCTTAAACTGGTGCAGAAGGGGCTGGTGACTACAGTGTAGTATTAGTGGGCATGGGGAAGGACTGGGGTCCCTCCCATCTTTTGGCACTGAAGCCATAATCCCTGTCCCAAATGATGATACTTACAGTCCACAGAGACCTTGGGATACCGCTCAGTCTCTTTCATCCCCCTTCACACAAACCCGCTCATTTTTTCAGGAGCGTTCACTACAGTTTAACAAAACCCCAAATCAAAACTCTAAAAACAGAATCTTTGAGGTGGGCCCACCACAAATCTGGATCCATGGCTTTGCTGCCTTCCCTCAGATCCTCAAGGGAGGAGGCTGGAATCAGAACACGGGTCTGGATCCGGATTTAGCAGCCCGAGCCCACCTCTCCAACACAGCAGTGAGATACAGCCAAATCCCGACCGAATAAGCAGCACCAGGAGTAAGTTACTATATACAACTGTTAGTGAGATAGATACGGTACAGTAAACACTGAGAACATTTACAAAAAAATATTAAGACTTGTATTAAGATAAAAATTGGTGTGTTTTTGCTTTGTTTACACTTTGACGAGTTTGCACTAGAACAGCCTCTCACTGTAGAAAGCGCAAGAACCAGGAAGGAAATGGAGCCAATCACAAAACCTTGGGGACAGTGGTGGTTTGCTCTGGTGCTGCAGCACCTCTCAGGATCCAGGTATTGCTATGCCAGGTACCAGCTCCGAGGCCATGGCAGGGAACACGCGGGCTCCTGCACTCACTCACACGCACACACACGGAGAAATGTACAGCTTATAAATAACAAAAACACAAACTGAAGAACAGAACTGAGCCTGGGCCTGAACACCTGCCCCCAAACCTTTTTAGGGGAGAGTCATGGTTAGGTCCAGTTGTTGACAGTTGCAGGAAAAGGAAACAGGAAAAAACAGGGGGGAATCTCTACTGTAACGAGACTTCATCCTGATTTAAATTTCTTTTTGTACTGGCTTGGGAAACTAAGCATCAACTCCAGAAGGTGTTGGCACTGGAACTTTTAAGATTTTAATAACTGGCAGTGGAAGGATTTAAGCATTCCTGCTATTTCAGCAGAACAATGTGTTCAGAAATTTGCAAGTTTGAGGGGAACCAGGAGTTTGTGACAGATCAGGGTGGGGAGGGAGCAGTGCCTTGGCTTGTGGTTGAGAAGATTAAGATGCACTGTGCTTAGCTTCAGCACTAAACAATTGGCTTGTGGGTGTTTCTTTTTCCAGCTCTTACGGAGAGCACTGACTGCATCCCGAAATTACTTCCATGTATGAATGGAAACGTCGCTGGTGGGGCGCCCGCCCCATGCCCTGTTAGCGTTTCCATTCCTCTATGTCACTTCTGTCTTGAAAAACTCCAGTCTCTCGCAACACAAATACTTAGAATTCAAAACAATCAGCTCTAAACAGGCATCTTAGGGCAAAAGCATTTAAAATAGTCTTTTTTTTCAGGGTTCTTATGTATTTGACTCTGAGACAGTGGCAGGTGTAAATCTACATTACCCAATGGTTCACAGTACCCTGTATATTCCTAACCTGTCTGGGTCTTTCTCCAGTTGTAACCTTGTCAGATTTGTGAGATTCTTCAAAGCCATCTGTGCTAGTCTCCAAAATTCAAAGGTGACTGTACTTGCCATAAGTACTGAGTTATGACATTGCTCTGAGGAGCTCCGTTTGGGGTCTGCTGTGTGCTGCACCCCTCGGCAGGTGTTGGCGGGGTGTGGAGACCTCAGTGCAACACGTTCGCTCCTCCTGGGCTTGGCCCAGGGCTTCCAGGGACCAGAAAAACGTGTAGGAAAAAGAGCATCTTAAATTTTGCAAACGATTGCATGAGGAAGAATGCTGTTAAGGAGCCTTACGGCTGCGGGGCAGCACGGCAATGCAGAGCTTACTGGCAAAGTGTCCTGCTCAGGCAGCCTGGGAAGTGTGAGGCTGGAGACGGTACCTAAGCAGAGCAGAGCTCAGGGAACGTCCTAGTCCCTTGGGCTGTACATTTACACATGGCAGCAGGAGCTAGGACAGGCGTTGAGCAGTGTGTTAACCTTTAGAGGGAGCATAGGCAGATGTCCTGTACACTGTACACTGTCCGTGTCTCAGAGAAACCTCTGGCTCTCGGTACGAGGGACCTGCTCTGAGAGTGGGACTTGTGAAGGGCTAACTGCAAGAAGCACAAACCCACGAGCACACCGTGGCGGCAGGTCAGCGGCACAGCCCCCGTGAAGGGGCGCCCAGCTGAGCTCAACGTGTCTGTGCCGAAGCTGGGAAAGTCTAATCCTGGCTTATGCCTGCACAGTGCTCCTGACAAGGGGCCTTTCGGTGGTGGCTGCTGTTCTTGGTGGTTACTCCCTTATGACCATGTTTTACATTCTTCAAGCCGGTTAATTTCCATGCAGTGCTCATTCCCAATTTAAAGAGGACAGTATTCCAGAAAATGGGATCTTTTTTTTTCTAATGCATACTGTGAAAGAAAAGAAATACAATTACCGATCTTCATGGTTCTTCAGGGCTTTTTCTTGTTTCTTTGTCTGTTTTTCTCCCCAGAAATAGTAAAACTCTCAGCACAGAGCATTCCATCCCCACAATGAACCCTTGATCAAGCAGGAAGCTGCCACTCCACGTAGCCCCCTCGCTCCCCTCTACCACAACAGGCACCAGCAAATCCAGCCCCTGTCCCTCAATCACAGCTAAGGGACCAAGCTCAGGCAACATTCACTTTATTCTGTGGCAGGAAGTGTGCGTGGGACAATGCCTGGGGCTATTGCTTACAAAACTCTTCCCCTTTATTTGTGAGAGAGCAGAAGCTGTCCAAAGGAATCGAGTTGCCGTTCACCAGGTGCCAGCTCCTCCCTCCACTCCTGTGCCACAGCCTTGGCCTTGCTCTATGCCCCTGGGCTGCCCAGGGACCCCCAGCAGCACCAGTCCAGCCCCCCTGCCACCGGGGCTCCCCACACAGCACCCCTTTGGCCGCCACACCGCCCTGACCTTCCATCTGCACTGTACTCCCTGCATGGGCGGAGTTAATTAAACACTAATTAGCTGCATGAAAGCCCTGTGGATGCTGTGAAAGTCAGCGGCCTCACAAAAGCTCCCAGGAAGGATGCTGGGCTCGGCTGGGGTTCACTTTGGGAGGGCTGTGCTCCAGGGGGAGTCACAGGAGGAGCGGGCCAGGCTTTGCTGCTGTCCCTCGGACGCTACATCCAGCAGCACACTTGAACTGGACTTACTGGGCCCCTGCCTGCTGCAGGCTCTGCCCAGCTCCCTTTATTTCGCTTACTGCATGACAAGGACGTTACTCCTTGCTGGGAGGGGTGAGGCATATCCTTTGGGCAGTTTAGAAGGAAAAGGTTACTTTTGTTTGAACATTAAACACTGACTCAAATCCAACAGTGACAGTGATTCTCAAATATATGTTATTTCCTTATGCCACTCATCTCACACTCGACATTCCCGTCCCTCAAAGTGCTGGCAGGACATCTCCCAGCAGGGTCAGTCGGCGCCGTCCGCAGTAAGGAGCTGGTGCTCGGGGAGCAGCCGTTCTCTGAAGCCGCGGCTCACGCCTGCTGCGCACGGTCCCTCCGGCCAGGCCTCTCCTGCGGCAGCGCCCTCCGCGCGTTAACAATTACTGCTGTTTCTGAATTCTCCATTCTCTGTAATCTGCAATTTAGTTGGGTTTGTGGGGGAGATCCCATTACGTGTCTGCATGCTGTACCTCTCTTTCAGCTGAGTAAGGGCACTCATTAGCCGTGCGTTGGCAGCATCCAGGGAAGCAATGCGTTTCTCCTGCAAGCAAACAGCAGAGGGCATGATCAGTGGAGAGGAACGAGCCCTGTCCCTCTGGGACGTCAGCCCGAGACAGTGACCCAGAGGCCTTTTGGACCAGGACCTTTCTCTTTGGCATTCCTGGGCGGGGGGTTTTAAGTGCTACACAGCACTTTTTGAAATCTGCAGGGCTACAAATATCCCCTGCCTGTGCAATGTGAGCTACATTTATTTTAGGATGCTGATGAAAATGGAGGTAACACAGTTGCTCTAATTATTCAGTTATACACTGTACTGTTTGTTCTAACTCAGTTGTTACAAAAGATGGTAGGATTCCATTTCTAAACCCAAACTCTCCCAAGATAGTTATTCCTGTCAGTATTTAATTAGTTATAAATTAATAGTTTAAATGACTTGTAGCCTGCCAGGCTGTCTTTGATGGCAGCTCACCGATTACAGCATTGTAAGCATGGAGCAAGAGCTTGCATGTTGCAGCCTGATTCTGCCACTCCCGTTCTTTGTGACACTGAACAAATGTCATCTTCCTGTGCAGAGGAACAGAACCAGCTCAGGGACACAGCAGTTGCTTGTTTGTAACTCTGAAAGTCCAGCAATGAACACGTCCAACACGTGTACAGCCTGAGGTGACCGAAAGAGAGGAGCAGAGAGCGTGCAGGGGCAGGGTCAGAACCTCACATGTACCCCCCTGAGGTGCAGGGGACAGGAGGAGGTCCCAGAGCTGCTGGGAGGCTGCAGGTACCACCACTGACACCTGAGGGACAACCCTGGGTATGCATGGTTCTTCTGGTGCGTGGAACAGAATAGGATGGATGATTTAGCAGCTTTGAACAAATCCCTCCCCAGAAAAGCGGGGTTTTTTTTTACAAAGTTACTACTGTCTCCATTTAAATTAGCTATGCAGTGAATTAGTCCCGAGTAGTGATCAATAGGGTTGTTAAGTGTAAGGCCAGAATATACTATCACTTCTAAGCCACAAGCTGTAGGGAGGCCTGGTTGGTGAGGACATGGTGGTCTCTGTTGGACAACCTAGAAGTTTATGGGCTGTATTTTTATATTCTCTTTTCCAAGCACAGTGTTTTGCATCCATCATGTGATGCTCCTCTTCCAATGTAACTGATTGCAGTAACTGAGCTTCCCAATCCTGCAAATCACAATCCAAAGGCTGAAAAGACATGTTGGCTTGGCTGTGGGCAGGCTGTGTGTTCCTTGTGTCCAGGTTCTGATGATCCAGGCATTACTGGGACATGAAGCACCAAGCAATGCTTCAGGGGATGTGATCCTTTTCACTAAGTTGTGGGCACGATCCCTCCCCAGTCTACCACCCCACGCCCTCTGTGCCATGCTCCAAGGCTGCACACAGCTGTGACAGTCACTGTGTCCTGCTGCAGCTGCCCTGGCCCTGCCTGCAGCTTGGTGCTGACTCACCCACACAGTCTCACCATGGGCTGGCACTGCTGCAGGGGGGCACTGTGTGCTGGCAAACCCACCCTGCAAACTGCAGCAGCCTTTGGCACGGGGCACTCACCTGTGCATCAATAATCTTCTGCTTGGAATCCACAGCAGCCTGCATTTCAGCGTGGTCCTTCTTTAACTCCTCCTCAACCGACATCAGTCTGGGAGCCGAGCACACAAGAAAAAATTACATTGGCTGAGCTCTGCTAAACCCAGGTATTACACTCACACTCTGCCTCCTCTTACCCACAAACCAAGCTTTTTTTCTTGGCTCTTACTCTTCCCTGGAGCTCCTTCTAGCAGGGTGCCCCAAAGCTGAACTGACAGCACAGCAAAGGCTGACCCAGTGGTGAGGGCTGACTGAAAGCACTAAGTGGGCTTGGCTCAGGTAAAGGTGAAACCTGCTGCACTGAAACAGCCCTGGACCACTGTAAACCACTTCCCACTGGGTGGGAGAAAGGAATTTAGAGTTACAGGTGAGAGATGGTGGTGAGAGCCATAGCTATATGAACAGAACAAGCCTGCCAGAGCCTCCAAACTCTCCCCTCCTGAATTTCTGCCCTTGCACAACAGGAAAACATCAGGGTTTTCCTTGTCCCAGGTAACACTGAGGGGAAAACCCATATGTGAAACCTGCCTGCACCTCCAAAGAATCCTTTTTCTCCTGAGAAGGGGTGAGCTCTAATGCCAGGCAGGCTGCCCTGCCTTACTGCCATCCCCAGCACTCCCATCTCCCTGTACCTGCTGATGATGCCCTTCATCTGGATCTCCTTATCCTCCTGCTGCCTCCGGAGCCGCTCCTCGCTCTCCTCCAGCCTGGCCTGGTACTCCAGCACCAGCTTCTGCGTGGTCTCCTCCTGGCATTTGAAGCGAGTCTCATATTCCTCCAGCTTCTTGTTGGAGATGCGGAGCTTGTCCTGCAGCACCACCAGGTCCTGCTGGTACTGAGGGCGCAGGGACAGACACAGGAGGAGAAAACACACGTGGCACGTTACCTCGTAGGGTTTGCCCTCGCCAGGCTTTCCCCCAAGCCCGCTCAGCCCCTCTCCTTGTATCAGACTATAGCTGCAAACCCGGATCAGACAACCCCGCTGCCGACACCTCCTCTTCCGTCTCGTCCGCGGCGCCAGGGGCGATGCCGGGTCCGCGGGGTGGGCAGGTCGCTGGCAGGTGCACAGAGTGGGCTGTTAGCAGAGTCTGGCATTTCACAGGGGAAATGCAGGTTAGAGCGGGCCTGGCAAAGGCGGCGGGCAGCTTCTCACACTGACAGCGCGGGGCTCGCACAGGCAGGGAGGCTGCAGCCTGGGATTGGGGGTTCGTGCAGGAGCTCCTCAGTCTGCAGCAGTAAACGGGGGGGCTTTGGGCAGGCTGGGCGCCACGCACGAGGGGCAGTGACAAATGCAGGACACTGCTGTCTCAGCACCCTTCATCGAGCTGAGGGCACAGAGCACTGCTGCCTTTTGGGACCCAGCATTTAACTCAGATATCAAACCAGGGTTCAGTCCAAGAAGAGCTGCTGCATGAAGCCAAGACCCCACAGTTGTACTGTTCATTTGGGTGAAGCTATAAATCAGCAGCAGAATTACATAAAGCAATTTAAAAAATTAAGAGCTTTTGAACTCGGTAAAACTGGGTTCAGCTATTGCAGCAGCACAGCATTCAGTAAACTTGCTTTGCTAAAGGAAAATCCAGTGAGTGTGTGCACAAGAAAACTGCTTTAATTTCCAAAAATTATATTTGGACATAGCCTTTTAAAAAAGCATCTCAACTGGAATAACTTCAGAATAGTTAACATGCAGCTGATAATGTGGCATGCTGCTTTTAAAGTCAGATACAGGAAAAGGGCTTCCATCTGAGTCATGAAGGCTGTGAAAGCTACAAGTGTTATTAATGAACTGAGAGAAGTGCACTCTGTTGTGTCTTGACTTGGCCTTTCCCCTTTGGCCATCGTACCTGGGTAGGCACTGCAATGATGGGCTGGGTCATGTCCCACGTCTGAGTCCTCCTGGCCTCCAGACCAGCCCTAGGGAGAGGGGAGGGCAGCCAGGCTGCTGCTGGGGACTGTCCAGCACTCCACTCAAAAATAACTGCAGCTCCCAAGGATTGAAAACTTAGGAAGCTGATGGTTTCCTGAACTGCAAAAGTACTGGAGCGAGGCGGTTTTCCTTTAGCAAAGCTCTTACTGCAGCACAGGAATGGCGGGGTTTGCACACGGAACCTGAAGCAATGAGGGAACAAAGCTGCACAGTAGCACTAAAGTCAGACAGCAGGGAGTTGCTTGAACAGGAAAGATTAAATACCTACCCTAGCCTTAAAATAGGAGCAGCGTAAGTGAGCTCAGAGGAGAGCAGGAGAGGCCTCAGAGCCCGAAGGAGTCGCTCCTGTCTCTAGAACACTTGTCTCATTCTCAGTTACCATTCAGGTCTTACAGTAATGGGGAGAGAGGTTATGCTAATGGTGATCTTGAATGTCAGTGACTGATGGGACAGCAGAGTAAGGAAAGATGCTGCATGGCAATGAGACAGCCTGGGCTGGGGCTCCTGCTGGGCTTGGGGCAGGCACTGGGATGTTGCAGTGCCATCAGAGTTTGGAACCCCACCACTGTGCCCAGCCAGGATGGGCTGAACCCACAGAACTGCCCTGATCTTCCTGGGGCAGCTGGGAGCTGCTGCCTTGGACCTCCTGGCTCCTACAACATCTGCCCTCAGCATTTTCCTTGGGTTTAAGAGGTGACAGCCCCCAAATGACACAGCACAGCAGAATGAGCACGGGAAGGCTATTGGAACAAAGCCAGAGATGTGTCTGTGCTGGGAAACAGGACAGGGGCTGAGGGAAGGATGATGTCTGCAGTGCTGGTGTGATACAAGAGAAGCATATTGAGGAAACATCCCAAATGCTACTGATGCTCAACTGCCACAATCCTGGCAGAGCCAGGCTGCTGAGAAAGACCCTTGCAGAAGCAGCAATCAGCAAAGATGGGATTTTCCAAGGTTGTGACTGTTGGATCCTCATTTTTATCCTTCTTTTTCATACTAGCCAGGCCTACTTTGTCTCTTCCCAGCTTCTCCCACCCCAGACTTGCCCAGGAAGGAGGGGAAGGGAGCAGCACCCCTCTGCTTCAGAGGCACAGAGCCTCTTGGGCCCAGGGGCTGAGACTGAATACTCTGCACACAGCTCCCTGGCAGACCTGACTGGCCAGGTCCTGATGTGTGCGACACTGCCATAAGCCTGTGGAAGTGCCACAAAGTCACCCCAGGCACCAGTGCTGTCTCTGAGACCAAAATTTGGACTTAATTTTTAGGTCTGTGAACAGCTTTTTGACATGGAAGCTGCTTCCTGCTCCATGTCCCTGTTGTGAGGCAGGAGGCTGCCTGTGCCTTGCTCCACCTCTGTTACAGGGGTGCTTAATCCCCTTTTTAAGCTTTCTTCCCAGAAGCTGGGTGAGTTGGAATGGGGAGAGTAAGAGGCAGTGGCTGGCTGCAGAGTTTGTTTCAGGGCAGCATCAGCATTTGATTCCTGGCTCCTGTGTTTCTTACTTGCTTTCATCAGAAGGTGATTCCAGTCACTGAGTGTGTGAAAGCCTCCCAAACGTTCCCCACAAGTTCCCTGGGAGGCCGAGTAGGACAGGGAGCAGCCTGGCCCCTCTCTGCTGTGCAGGGACCTGCACACAGCCCACCTTCTCCCCAGGGTGCTCAGGGGATAACATTCAAGGAAATCCTCTCTCTATTCAGAAACTTGTTTCAATCCAATCAGGTTTTACCTTTTCTGCTTGGCTGAGCTCGTCCTTATTCCTGAGCTTATCCCTGTGCTTGGAATCTGGGTCAATGCTTTCATCTTCTAAAAACTGCATGTTCATATTCAAAAGCCAAGCAGCAGTGCGGTCCAGGGCATTGGGGTTCACAGGAGAAGGGGCCTACAATGAAACAATGATACAACCATGACAAAAGAAAAACCTGTAACACAAATGGTCATGAAGCTGGAGGGAGAGAGTTTCCTTCCAAGCAGACCCTCTCCCATGCTGCTCAGACAGCAACGAGCCAGGCTGAGCTACCAGAGCAGCTGGGGCTGAAGCAGGAACAACTCCTGTTCTGCAGGTGGACATTATTTTGGGTCAAGCAGTGGAACCTGCTCCAAGTCATGGCCCCAGTGTCTGAGCAGATCCTGCAGGTGAGCAGAGTGACTGGATGTGGTTTTTTCACTCCACGAGCAGAGCTCTCTCAAGTCTTCATCTTGTTATGAGCCATCTTTGCTTCCATGGATTGCATAAAACAAGATCTGAAAACTGAAGCTCTCCTTATGACCGTGCAGGAGCCTTCTTGGAGAAGTAAAGTTTCTTTTCAGCCGAGGCTACACTAAGGATGCTGAAGAGGTCTAAATGCTCAGTATCACTTACTAGTGATGTTCCATGGTCAGTGAGCTACAGTCACATCTGCTGCCTTGCAGTCCTGGCCTGGGCAGGGACTGCCAGTGGCACTGCCTAAATATTTTCCAAGCACAATACAAGGAAGTCACTCTTCAGCTATTTCCCTTCCATCCTGCCTTGTTATAAGCTGCAGTAAACAGTGAGATGAACACATGGGATCTGCATGACTTGGTCATTCAAGTTAATGACTTGAGAATTCAAATTAACAAATCAGAAATGTCAGAAACTTTCTCCTTCATTCCAGCCTCTGGATAGAGAAACCCAGTCACTGTCAGGCAGCAGAACAGGAGGTTCTGTGTCAGGAGTGGGCACTGGTTTCATTTCCTCATTGGGGTCAGGGGCTTTCCCATGACATCTTCCAGTCTGGTCTTCTACCTCCAGAATTATGAATCAGAAGCATCAGACTTGGCTCATGAGCATTGCTGGCTACAAATCCTCATGCTGCTGACATGTAAATAAAACGTGCAGAGTGAGGGTGGGAGAGGCATTCTGAGACTTCAGGTCTGAAGAGAAACTTCGAGAGGACCACAGGTGTGGGTGGAGGAATCCTCTGTGAAGAGAACCTGGCCAGAGCTTTCTGATGGCCACCTGGAGAATCCTTGTGTTTCTGGAAGAAAGCCTGCTACATCCAGGCCTCTGCTCCTTGCACAGCTCTGTGCCCTCTGTCCCTAACGAGCATTGATTGTGTTACACAAAGGCTGCTGCACAGCGCTGCTAATGCCAGCGCTTACAGATCGATTCCGGAATCACGGAGCGGCTCTGGATGGGAGCATCAACAACTTCTGTGGGCAGCACTGACCAGGCTCCACAGCTGCTCTGTGGGAGAGGCACACACAGCAACACTGAGGGCTGGAGAAGGGCCTGAGCTAACTCAGGGTCTGCGTGCAGTGGGCTCTTGCTGCTTGTCCAGTCTCTGTGTTTGCTTTTCTTTTACAACTCTTCTTTAGGCACAGAGGTCTTAATGTGATAATGTTCTGTAGGGCTGGTTTTGAAATGCAGAGTGAATAAATGAGCACTATAAAAACCATTTGTCCATGGCAGGACATCCAGAGGGCCTTAGGCCTGTGACCTACTGCCTTCCATTTTACCTCCAGGGACAGTGGGATGGAATTCTGTGCAGCCCAGCACATGGTTTGGGACTAGGATCACTGCAGAGCTCTGCACAGCAGGAATGTCGCTCCTTCCTCCCTGCTCCTACGGGAGGCTCTCAGTTACAGGAGACCAAGGTCTGTTCCAAGCCTGGGGGATGGCACGGGGTTGGCTATGGCATGGGATGAGAGCCTGGGCATGGACAGGCAAAGCAGTGACAAGATGGTAGCACAGGACAGCGGCGTGGCTGCCACTGCCCTGGAGCCTCTGCCACCTACCACCATCACGCTCCAGTGTGACAGAGGGACACCGGGAGTGGACGCTGCTCTGTGTTCCTGTCCCTGGAGGGCCTCTGTCTCAGGCCAGAGGTGCCAGAGCCGAGGTACATCCCCACATGTGATGCCACTATGGGGTTGGCACTGGTGTGGCAGTTCAGAGCCACATCTCCTCCCATGGCAGCAATCTCCATGGGCTAACCCCACCTGGCCCCTTCAGTGCCAGGGCCCGGACAGCCCGAACTCACCTGTTTGTGCATCGTGCGCTGCTTCATCTCGGGGCTGTCACCTTTGGAGGAGGAGGACTGCTGCCGGAGCCGCGCCCCGCTGCCGGGCCAGTCGGGCGATGAGGACATCATGCTGCCGCTGGAAGGTCGCTGGTACTGCACCGTGTTCAGCAGGGAGGGCGGCGTGCGTCCGCGGGTGACGGGCGGGGGCGGCGGGGGCGGCTGGTCGATGCGGCGCTGCGGCCCCGCGCTGTTCTGCCGCGGCATCGTGGGCTGGCCGCCCTTCTCGGTCAGCGACAGCTGCCGCCGGGCCAGCTCCCCCGGCCGGCGCGAGAAGTCCTCGCCGGCGGCGGGGCCGGCGAAGCCGTGCTTGTTGGCCGTCAGCTCCTCGCTGTTGCTGTGGGAGCTGAGCGAGCTGTGGCACTCGGAGCCGGAGTCGCCCAGGCCGCGGGGGGACAGCGGCAGCCCGGCGGCCATCTGGTACACGGGGTTCTGGAAGGACAGCGGCGCCAGCAGCTGCGGCCGGCCGGGCGCGCTCTCGCCGCTCGGCGTGGTGGGGGTCTGGCCCACCCGGCGCACGGTGGCCATGCCCGTCACGCTGTTCTGCTGAGTCCGTGTGCTCCAAACGCCCTGCAACTGCCCCAGCGACGACTGACTGTCATTGAGCGAGTCGGCTGTGCCGGGCGCGTTGGCCCCACTGTCCAAGAGCCGATTGTCCTGCAAGTCCACCATGGACAAACTCTTGCTGCCATTAGACATCTGCACGTCGGGCTCATTGGCCTCTGAGTAACTGGAGCTTCGGGCAGGCGAGGGCTGGGCCCCAGCAGACCTTGTGACAAAAAACAAGTCCTTGTTTTCAGGGGTTGGAGATGGTAACCGTGTGAAATCTATCAGACTGCGGGGAAGTCAGTGCGTAAGAAGAGGAGAGGAAAACAAAACAAAAAAGAAGAGTTGTGAATGCTCCACCGGAGCAGGAAAACGAAATCACTCAGAAATCAGGGTGGCGCAGCTGTGTGGGACAGGAATGGGGACAGGGACAGGACCCAGCCCTGACAGGAGCAGGGACAGGGCTGGCTCAGCCAGGGACAGTGTGAGGAGTGGGGAGGGTGCTGTGGAGCCCCGGGCTGGCCTGGGAAGGGGCAGATGAGGGCAGGTGAGTGAGGGCAGTGTGTGCACAACGGGCACTGCACTGTCATGAGGCTCAGGGACACACTCCTGGGGGCTGCTCTGCTCTGGGTCAGTGCATGTCACCCTTCCTGCTCCCAAAGGCTGTCTCCATGCCAGTCCCATGTGCCTGCTCTGTACCTGGGCAGCAAGCTCTGTGGGCACACTGGCAAGGATTTGGACAGCACAGAACACTGTGGGGGCCGGGTCCACACCCGGCCTCCCAGGTCAGTGAGTGCTCACACAGCAGAGCTCAAGCCTGGCAGCTGAAGGTTATCCCCCCACTCCTGCTGCAATGCACATTCATGCAATATTGATTTCTTGGCGATAGGAAGAAAGAGCTTTGCAGTAGCTTCATGTGAATATTCTGCTGATCAAAGATGGTGCATTGTAAGCAAGTATTGGGGGGGAAGTGTATTGTCAGAGATCCTCCATAGCATTGGATTTAAATAATTGCACCTCATGCTGGGAGGCACTAGAGATGAAAGCTCTGATTAGAGCAAGTCCAGTGCCATTGCTGCCTTTCATTCCTAATTAAACTGTTAAATATTATGCAGTTTCCACTTACAAACTATTTTACTAGCACAGGCTTTCCGTTTGTGTGGGCTCCATTTCATTTTCCACAAACAGAAATATTAGAGGTCTGCAAAAGCCTCATCCTCTGCATGAATGAAGCTCCTTACTTAATCAGGCCAAAAAGTATGTAGGTGACTGTGTCTGTGAATCACTGCTCAGCAGTGAACTACATCCAGCACCACTTCTGCAATGGGAGAGCCTGGTCAGTGGATCAGCTGCACCCTGTCCTGCCTGTCCCTGCCTGACTGTTCCGTGTGTCCCTGGTGTGTGGCCAGGCCCCGCTGGTCTCTTACCCAGATAAGTCATTCTCTATGACCATTTTCTGCAGCCCTGCAGAGATGCTGTTGCCAGCACTGGGCGTGGAGGCGGCGTGCTCGGCCGTGACCGACACCTGCACGCAGGCCGGGTTACTGAGAGCGGCGTTGACGTCACGCAGGATCCGGGGCAGAGGCCCCAGTTTGGTGGCAGTGCCCTGGGCAGGAAAGAGAGAACAATTACCACCACCATCTTGTGCTTTTTGCTAGAGAACTATGAGCTTTGCCAGTTGCTGGAGAGTCTCTTCAGAGAATCACATGAACAACATTTTCTCCATCATTTCCCGCCCCCAAAGCTGTCCCTGCCATCCCCTGGATACCTGCTCCAGTTGGGAAATGACTTCCCAGAGTAGTGAGTGCAATGTGGACAGTTCCCGGCCCAGGTCAATGTAGCCCTCAAAGCCAGCTGTGTTTGAGATGGTTTCAGGATTGGAAATCTCCAGGAGAAATCTCTGCATGTTAGTCCATTCATGTTCCAGGAACTGATTCATAAAGGACATGTATTCCTCTTTGCTGCCAAACCTATTGAGAGAGCAACACAGATTTCAGCTAAATCAGGAAAAAAACTGCAGTCCATGGAAAGGGGAGATACAATGCAGCTAAGAACTCTCCTCTGGCATCTCAACCCTTCCAAGCCTTTGGGATCCCTGGGCTGTGAGCAGGCACCTGGGACACCTCACTGAGCGTGGAACCAAAATTAACCCCCATCTGATCCAGCTAAGCCCTCATCAGGTCTGGGATCTGCACATCAGGAACAAAGGTGAAAGCAGGAGAAACAAAGGAGTTCTTGGTGACCCAGTGTCTGGCTGCTGGGTCAGGGCACAGCCTCCAGAAACAGGACCTGTCACTGGAAATCAAGATGCTGTCACAGCAATCACCCTCAGCTGACTGGAGCCCAGTGACAGATGGGGGCAGGAACCCTGCACTCTCCAGCAATGCCAGCACAACTGCTCTGGGATCACCCTGTAGAGCCCCCCCTGCAACTGGGTCAGCCCCATTGTCCCCTCAGGCTTCCTACCACCACCTTCTGTCCTCCAAGCTCTTCACCCTCAGTATTTTGTCTGATTTAGAGCACAACAGGGAGGGCCTCGTGGTTGGACTGTCCTGGCAGCAGCTGGTGCTCTGCCAGTGGTTCCATGGGACAGGCTTGGCCCAGTGCCATGCACAGGACAGCTTGGCTTGATCACTTCAGCTTGACTAGTGTCAGCTTAGTTAAAGAGCCTTTCCTGCAAAGTGCTGGAAATATGAAAACCCTTTAGTTAGGGATTGGTCAGGAATACAGAGAATTTCTGTCATCTAGTGTAACACACTTGTACATCTCCTGCCAGTGTCCGCAGGCGCGTCTGTGCGTTGCTGACTGTGAGTGTGAGCACTAAGCCAGTTTCCAGATCTAAGGAGCTTTAGATAGAAACTGTCCATTCATGTTTCAGAAAGCTCATCATTTTGTTATCAGAGCTCAGGATAAGTAGCTCAGAGCTACAGCCAGTGGAAAGATTTTCAGAAATCTCTTGCTTTGTTTCCATCAAACCAATGGGCTTAGTTAGAAATTGATGGTGTCTGTGTTCTCAGGCCTTCCCAGTTCAATCAGCTGCATTTTAATAGCAGGGAAGGTCCCAGAGCTCAAAGGAGGGATGGAACAGTTCCTGAGCCGAGCACATCACTACTGCTGATCAGGTTCTGGTCCTGCATCTGCAGGACACCACAGGACAAAGTCCCCAGTGCCACCCCGCTGCTTGTCCATGTGGTCAAAACAGCCTGTTTTCCTGCTCATAAAACATGTCCTGTTTTGGAAACTTGAATGATCTCCCTGACCTGACAGCGAGGGAACAAGTCCCAGAGAGATGTGGGGAAAAAGCCAACAGGAAGCAAACAGGCCCTTTCCAGCGAGGAAAGGAGTGGCCAAGTGTGGGACTCTGTGCTGGCGCCGTGCTCTGCCCACGCACCCGGAGGTTCTGTCCCTGCCCAGCCCTGCCCTGCCCACAGCCTGGCTTACTTGGCAAAGTTGGCGAGGTTCTGGGTGACCTTGGCGATGAGGGTCAAAGTGCGCGCGGTGCGGTCATCGGGGTACTCCTGCAGCAGGCTGAACAGGGACGGGGACATGATGGCCGGGCACAGGAAGCGCAGGAACAGGGAGGCGCTGATCAGCCGCTCGCTGATGTCGGGGCGGCCTCGGTTGCTGCACTCCTGTCTCCACGAGGCAAAAACTTCTTTGAGCTCTCTTGGGAAGACGCTGAAATGACACAAGGACAGGCAGTGTCTGTCAGGGTTGGAGCATCAGGAATCTCAAACCACCTAAGGGAGAAAGCAAAGCTGCTTTGTAAAGTTGTGAGAGAAGCAGCTTCTATTGGACCTTATGCTGGATGCCAAGATCCCAGAAAACTGGGAAGACTGGGATATGAAACAAACTGTGCACAGAAGCTCTTCAGCACTCAGTGGCTGTGCCACGGGGGTACTCTGAGCTGGAGGAAGCTTAGCCAGCAAGGAGAGCATCTCCTGAAGAATCACCAGCAGCACTGCAATCTCTGGCACAGCTGGAGCTTGCAGGGGGGGCTGTGCAAACTGTAATACTCCTGTTCAAGCACCTGGATCAAATCCCACTGTGCCTAGTACAAACACAGAGCCCCGCCGGAGTTACTCCAGCCTTGTAGCTGCACAGACCTCAGCCTGCCTTTCCCGGATGCCAGAATTCCCTGGGGGCCAGCAGACGCTCACTGCAGCAGCCCTTATCTCTGGAGAGCTGCTGCCTGTTCCTGCTCGGCCCTTCCCAGCTCCCTGCTCCCACCTCATCCTGTTCCCAGCATGTGTTATTTACTCAGCTGCAGACTCCCACCCAGAAGCAGGCTGGCACTGGGCTGGCCACTGGTCCCAGTGTCCCTGGCACACAGATCCCAGTGCCCTGGCCAGGAACCACCGTCCTTGTGTCACACCCAGAGCTGTTCCCTGACAGTGGGGGTACCACAGCAACTGAGGGGGGCTGTGCTCCATTCCAGGCCATCTGACCTTCTGACACAGCGATGGCACTCCATGGATGTGCCTGGAAAATGCTGCCATCCTGTTCAGCTTCTGCTCTGTGCTGCCTTCACACTTTCACCCCCATGAGCTTTTTTACCCCGAGCTCTACAAATAACATTAACCAATGTCTTTGGCTGGATAAATTCTCCTCTATCTTTGGCTTGATCCACACAATTGGACAAAACCCTTTCACTTCATGGTATTTGCCCAGAAACAGGAGAATCCTTTAAGCAATTTGAGGCTTGAATGATCAGGACAGGTTGTGCAGTGACTGGAGAGCAACCCCTGAAATGCAGCACCCGCACGTTCCCGTCACAGGCTGGAGCCCTGGAAGTTTAATTGTGTCACAGCGGATGGAATCCGGATCGTTGGCTTTATGTGACAAACGGGCCCGTAATTCATTACCCAACTTCCCAGTAACGAGCTTCCACATGCTGAAATTCTGCTTACACTGAAACTTTCCAGATGTCCAAATTATGTCATAATTATAACAATTTTCGGTTATTGTGAACCTCTTTCCTCTGCCTGACTCTCTGCACAGATGAGCACACACACTCCAGTGCTCTATTTAAAGCGGGATCGTTGGCTCTTGGGATACCTTGGCCAATCCCAACACTCATCAGCCCAATTAATCCCCAAGAACTGCTGAGCTCAAAGGACTCAGGGGGAACCACTCAGAGCAGCAGCTCAGCTGCTCCAGCCTTCCTTGGAAAGGCAGGATGGGAGGAACAAACTTCCTGTGCATTCCTGACTTTCCCTGGGTCACTTTACAAGCCTATTTTTAGAGTGACCTTTGAGTGCTGCTTTGGATATTTTTAGGAAGACATTAATTCAAACCATTATGATCCACTGCTGACTAGAAGTGGTGAATCCCTCCTTGGAGAGCAGGTAAACGCCGTTCCTCAGTCAGAGTTATTAATTGGCCAAGGATAAGGAATGGGATACCTGTAAAGAACCTGTGTTGTACCTGTGGTACATAATGGCAGCCTGAGCAAGCCTCTTGCTCCTTGCTCTCCCCCTGAGCAGGATCAGTTCCCTTCCTGGCTTCCAGGAGAGTACACTCAATATCTTGGGAGATTATTTATAATAAGTTTTCTGACCTCAACACAATGGCTAGGAGAGGAGAGAAAACAAGAAATCCTTGTTATCAAAGACCTCCTTCCTCCAATATTATCCCTTGTTGATGCTTTGCAACAACAGTGTTACTACTAAATACATTAATAAAAACTAAGCCCAGATTTTAAGCAGAAAGGCTGGAAGTCCAGCAGTGAGACAAAAATGCTCCTTCTCTCATGATAAGGACCAAAAACTCTGGGTATGCTAGCAAAAAGCAGAAAGAAAATATTTCTATTTCTCCAAGTAAAGAGAGTCCCAAGTCCATCTTTTTGCCCTTTGAGGTCACCTCTGCAGGCAGCAGCTGTCACAGACTCAGGGACTCTTGGCTCCCAGCACAGCTGTGCCAAACAACCACCTCCTCCAGCAGGATCCAGTGCCTCACACCAGCCCATGTGGGATATTCGGGCCTGTCCCAACCGGTTGCAAGAACCTTCACCCTGAGAACAAACAACTGGGAAATGCCTCCAGCTGCATACCAGGCCTTGGGCCAAGGAGGCAAAGGGCTCCCATCACCCAGCAACCGCCCAGGGCTGGGAGAGACAGGGGTTAACCCAGAGGAATGTGGGATGCTGAGCCAAGCAGGGAGAACAGCATCCTCCTCGCAGCTCCAGCACTCTGCAACCAGAGAACATCTGCCCAGACAAAAGCTGCCTGTGCTGGGGCAGCTCCTCACAGGTGCCACAGCCCCCGCCTGCTGCAGGATTTCCGAGCTTTGCTGGATGCTCCTGGAGGTGTAGATCTGTCAGTCCCATCCAGACTGATTGTTCGATGGGTGGAAGATCCAGGACATGCATCTCTGCCTTTTATTTCACAATTTCATACTCATTTGGCATCAAGTACCTCTGAATCAGTCTCACTTGGTGTTCCTTGCCTCCACTGCCCTGTCCCTGTGCCCCAGTGACGCTGGCACCTCTGAAGACAAGGGTGCCAGAGAATCTGGGAGGGTGCCACATCCCCAGAGCAGATACTCCAAACTCTGGCAGCTCCCCCTCCACAGCTCTGCCAGAGCCACAGACAGGTCCCAGCCCCTGCAGACACAGCACTCCAGAGGAGGGAGTGCCACTCCTGGGGTACCCACCAGTAGGAGTTGATGATCTTGCAGAAGGCCAGCTCACAGCACATCTTCAGGTTGCCCTGATGTTCGGGGAGGTCTGAAGACGAGCATTTGCTGGGATCCACCTCACAATTTTCATCTGATTCATACAATGCCTTGATGAACTCCCCTGTAAAACAGAGTTGGTGATGGGTTTGGAGACATGAGAAGCGCAGCCTTCAAGCAGCTCCATTCCTAAGCGCCAGTGCCCGAGCAGCCCCTGGCTCCCCATCACCCTGGGGGAAGATGAGAGGGACAGAAGAGCACGTGGTGCCCCTGGGGCAGCTCTCTGGCTCTCCATGAGTCCCAAAGGACCCAGGAGTGCCTGGCAGTTCCTTGGGAGCTCATGCCCAGCACAGCACACCCAGCACTTCCCATCCCTGTTCCCAGCTGGCAGAGCTGTCCCTGTGGCTCTGGGGTATTGCATCAGGGCTGTGCTGCCCAGCACCTGCCTGGCCCCCTTGCTCCAGAGATGCTCCCTTGGGCTAATCCAGGAGGAAGGATGCTGGCAGGCCCTGTAATTATTGGTAGCAGGGCCTGCTACTGCAGCCTGTGCCCTGGTGCTGACAAACCACTGTGATTCACAGGAAAAATAGGTAATTAAAGGAAAGAAACAAATTACTTGGCTTATTTTGAGCTGAACACCACATAAAATGAAATTAAAATATTTCCTTGAGTCTTCCTGTGCTCCTCTTTGCTGCCTGACTGCTCCTCCTCACCCTTGCAGAGGCTGACACTGAGCTGCTCCACCAGCTTCTGCTCTTGTGCCACCTTTCACCACAGGGTACCTGGGCACAGCCCCTGCACTCAGGGTTGGGGGCTCAGTCCTTCATCCCAGCAGTGACTGGGGAGACTGGGGACAGGGTGACAGGGATGAGGAGGCAGCATTTAGCTTGGGTGATGCTCTGGGAGAATGGTTTGCTTTGGTTTTCTTCTCATTCCACTTGGTTTGCTCCTAATTCCCAACTGTCTTGGATTTTCCCATTCTGTTTTTTCCCCTCTCCAATCTGCATTCCTTCCCTATTGCCAAAACAAATTTTAATTACATACTGGAGAGCCTCTCCAGAGTATTTTCAGCTCTGCCAGGGAGCTCTGGAGCTGCTCTGCTCGCCTGCAGGTGATGCCTGCTGTTCTTCCCCGGCCCCATCACCTGCTCCATGGTTCCAAGGACAGTGCCATGCTGCCCTGGGGCACCTTGTGACATGCAGGTGACTCATCTCCCTGGGAAAAGGTCACTCAGAACCTGCACCCCACAGTGAGCAGGAACCCCAGGCTCCTCCTGCACGAGATGGAACTGGCCTGGCAGCACTGAGCCCCCAAAAGGGAATATTTCAAAATTCTCTGATATCATTAATCTCCTGGCTTTTGAGAATTTTTATGAGTAATCTACTTACAGACTTGCCTTCAACCAGAAAGCATTACAAGGCAGAAATAAGTAGTATTTCTTTTGCTATTCTTGTGGGCTCTCTGCCTGAATTTGCTCAATTATTTCCCTTTCCTCAAGGTTTTCATTATTATTATTATTATTCTCTTAATAAAGTATTTATGCTTCTCTGCTCCTTGCTAAAATTATACAAATCCACTAGCAGGAACCTAACATGCTGAAAAATTAACACCTCAATAGAGACTCTGCTCATCCAGCCCTGGGATGTGGATCCAATGGGAGATCACAGAGCTTCCAAGGCAGCCTCTCCCCATCCTCGTGCTGTGTTCCCTGCATGCAGCAATTCCTTCCTGACCTGCCCAGAAGCAGAAGCTTCTAATTATTTTCATTTGCATCAAGAGAAGTATTTTTGGAGCCATAAACAGAGCCAGCACTTGGAAAAAGAACCACCAGGAGGGTTCCCAGTGCTGGATGCTCCGGGAGGCAGCGCATCACTGCGGCCGGGGAGATCTCATCTGACTCGGGAGCGCTGCAGGAGCCGGGCACGTCTCGGCTGGGGCTGCAAGGGGGGAGATTCAATCAGCCCCTGACAGCCAGGCCTGAGACAGGAGCCTGGCAGGCAGCAGAATGCCTCCCAACATCCACTGCTGATCTGCTCTGAAAGCAGATGAAGGTGCCAGCTCTGCAGTCACCTTCACCTGGCACAGGGAGCTGCCCACTGCGGCCACGGCCGTGTCCAGGCTCGGACCTGCTGCCAGGGAAATGCTCCAGCAGGAAAATGCTGAGGGCTCTGATGCCATCAGGGCTCAGCTGACATTCCCACCATGCAGCCTGGAGAGCCTCTCTGGGCGAGAGCTGCCAACGCTCTGTACGTACCTAAGGCATCTTGTAAGTATTTCTGCCCCACCAGCTTCAGGTATTCTTCGATTGCTTTGGTGGCCAGTGTGTTCTCCCTGAAAATGAGATGCTCATTCTCACCACAGCGATCAACTTCAGACATCATCAGGTCAGTCAAGAAATCCTGGAAAGCAAAGCCCATGGTGGGTGACCACGCACTGACATTGGTTCCACAGAGCTGCAGCTGCCCAGCCCTGACAGGTCCCAGCTTTGTGAGCCACCCGAGGGACTGGAGGTGCTGCAGGTGGTCCTGTGTGAACACTGCCTCACCACCTGCCCAAACTTCCTCAGAGATGAGGAGAAATAAACCTCTGGAGAGCCTCAACCCTTGCACCCCAACAATGACTCATCTCAGACCCACAGCTGCCTCTCCATCAGTGCTGCTCTTTGGCTGCTCTCGTGTCAGCCTCGCATTCTGTGGGCAAAACCTCTTCTCCCTTTTAAACATGGCTGTGTTTGGTGTCCAACTGCACTGGCTGCAAACCAGGGCCATGCTCCAATGTCATGAGTTGTGCCCAGTTAATGGCTGAGACACAAGCCTTAGATATGCACTGAGATACTCAAATTTCCCATTTCCTCCCTATTCATGGAGATAAACAGCATTGATAGTGCTCATTTTGGGCACATTCTTGGTCCAGTGTGCACATAACCAAATCCATGGGAGGTGATAATCCCCTGTGCTGCTACTGTGCAGATCACCCATGTTAACCATCTGACTGCCTTCCATGTAGGAGACAGAGAAATGATCACATTCATTCACCTCCACAACCAAGGGCACCTTCTTCAACTCCTTCCATTAAAACAACATCACCTACTCAGTAATAACCTTCCCTAAGAAATTTTTCACTTCCCCTGTGGGTCACAGCCCATTCCTGGCAGTTCCAGGATGCCACACAGTGTCCCAGGTCCTGTTCTTGATGTCCCCAGGCACAGCAGAGCTGCCATGTCCAGCCTGTTCCACCCCACAATGGGGAGAGGGGACATCAGATCCTACTCCCTGCCAGTGGCTGGATGGGAGCTCTGCACCAGATGCAACTTGCTCAGTTTCATTTTTCACACGGACATCTGTGCATTGAAAGTTCAATCAAGGTTCAACAAACAGCTTTCTCTGAACCCAGGAGGCCCAAACAATTTAATCCACAGACCCTCCATCACTGTGCTCCTGTCCCAGGCAAAGGCAGACCCTGGGGCAGGCAGGTACAGCCCTGTGTGAGAGCACACGAGGAGGGGAGGAACATCCCTGCAGTACCCAAGGATCCACTGCTCCCACCTTCCACAACACTGTGACTGGGACCAACACACTGCCTTGACCTTCCCCAAGACCCTCCAAAAAAGCCAGAGGAGGAGCTTTGGGCTAAAAAAAAAAACCCACTTCCATTATTTCTTTAGCCAGAAGATGCCCTTCCTCAAATCCTGCTACGTCTGCAGTGCTCCGGCAGCTGCAGAGGCAAAAATCCCTCCTGGAAGCAAAGCACGTGCCTCCCTCTGCTATTTTCTCTCATTTTGCCCTTTTTATCAGCCAAGTTGGAATGAAACTTTAAACCCTGCTCAAATCCCGTTAGCTGCTATCTGGGTAACTCTATCACCTTTATCTTCCCGGGGCTCTCCCAGGGTACGTTTCAATTCCAAGCCACCGCTCAGGCTGACACAAGGTGCTGATTCTTAATTAGCAGCCGCTGACCTTGGCTTTGCTTGGTTCTCTTTCCTGTCACTTTCCCAACATACTAATTATCTCAGGAACACTGAGTTTTACAGCATCTCTTAGCCAAGTGTTTGCTTTTCCTCCTCTTGTCAGCTGAGCACTGGCTGCTGAGTCCTGCAAACCCAGGGCCAAGTGGGAGCCAGAGTTAATGTGAATTTGGGTGACTTGGGCTGATCTACAGAATTCACTAGAATATAAAACAAGGCAAGATTCCATGGCAGGACTCAACACAAAGCCAGAAAAGATCCCCTGGAAATCTCTGCTGCTGTTTTATTCCCTATGGAGCATCTGCAGCTCAGCAGCTGGGAAAAGGACCCCTTGTCTCCAAAGTGGAAAGGAAAGCTGCTAAAGTCCCAGAGAATTCCATGATGGCACAGCAGCCAAAGCTGAGCAGTAACACTGCAGAATGTGGCCTTGCAACTGAGCAGGGAAGGAGGGGGGAGCCAGGACACCCAGCAGCATCCCAGGGGTCAGGATCCTCCCTGTCCCTGCAGGTCTGGGCTGCAGGAGCTGCCCTGGGATGTGCCAGGGGTCAAAATTCCCCCAGGCAGCATCCCTGGGTGAGTTCCTCTGCAGGGACTGCCCTGGGCAGCTCCAGGAGCCCTGGCAAGGGTCACTTCCCAGGACATCCTGGTGTCCCTGGCCCTGCCACTGGCCAGACCTTCACTTCCCCCCTCCACGGAAAAGCCACATCGGCTCTGGATCACACTTCTGCTATCTCTGCCCTAAGTACTCCAGCAGCCAGCACTCAGAAGACACAAATGGAATGCAAATACTTGTGGAATCCCTCCGGGGGCCTCACTCACCCACATACAAGGTCCTGAATAAAATGCAATAACTAAAGCCAATAAAACTCCCTGTTTCTGAACAGCAGAGATCAGCAGGGGGTTGTTTTCAGTTAGGGCCCCTGGCAATGGAAGAAAATAAGATGCTTTATTTCATTACATCAGAGTTGAGAGGGGAAGGAAGAGGTCTACAGTCAAAATTAAGGGCTGTGGCAGTGTTCTTCAGGCTTGTTCCCATGCTTATTTTAAGGCTTTTTGCTTCAGACTGGACAGATCTGAACCTGTACGACCCCAGTTGCTGCACATATGCTGATAAAGAAGAGCAATTCATAAATAAATAACTTCAGAGCATGACAGCACAAGGCTGCACTGGTCTCCACTTTGCACATAAAGCACCCTGTGCTATTCCAAGGCAGCTACTCCCTGGCAGGGCTGTGGTGGGGGCAGGAGCACTGCCAAGGGAGCCAACAAGGAACACAAGTCTTGTAGGACGTGTCCTCTCCAAACCCAGGAAGGATCAGGAAGGATTCTGCCCTTGGCCAGCCCAGCCTCTCTGGGATGTGTCCAGAGCTGGAGCACGGGGGTGCCCAGAGCTGAGGAGCCCCAGGGCCCTGCAGTGCCCGGGGTGGTCACACACGCCCTGGGCTGGAGCTGATCACCCCTGCTATTGGAACCGACTGATGGGCAGATTGACTTGGAAATAATAAGGTTCTCCAAATCACAAGCCTGATTAATAGGATTGACTTAACCTTAAGAGGATTGAATTGATAAAGGTAATAAGATTATTGCTTATTTCAAAGACTAGCTCAGAGTCCAGCTGGGCCCTTATGCAAAGGTGAAAACCACCAGTGGCCGGTAGGGCTGCAGGTTTCAGGTGCAGGAGCACTGGGACTCACCCATGGGGGAGGGAATGGCGGCCCAGGAGGCTGAGGAGGAGGGAAAGGAGAGCGGCAGAGGGGCAGCAGCTGGGTCCTGGACAGATGGGGTGAAACTGAGGAGCCCAGCCCCAAGTCCTCGACTCTTCCATCACACAGCTCCTCTGAGGATCTGCTCCAGACACTCCTCTGCCAGGAAACAGCAAGGTTCCCTCCTTCGAACCCTGGAGCTCATCCCATGGCACTTTGGGCCCTTTCTAATTCTCCTTGGGCAAAGGTGAATGGCAATGTGAGGGTTAACTCCCAGCGATCTGTGTCCATCCCCTTGCTCAGGGAAATGAGCAAACCTGAGGGATACAACACGAACACACTGAGCCACCTCTCCTGTCCCTGCCTGAGCCCTGAGCCGGCCCTGGCTCTGCCACTGGAACGTGGGGTTCCAGCAGATCCACACGGGGGGAGCAGCTACATCTGCTCAGCTGAGGCCCATCCTCGCAGCACAAACAAACAGGGACACATGTTTATTCCTCACTCCATTCCCAGCACCATAAATATTTATTTCCAGTGAGCAGCTGGTTAGTTAGAGCTTTGTCTAATGCTGGGTTTGATCTACCAGTGCTCTGGACAGGAGAAGTTTTTTGTTTATTTATGGTCATGAACTGAGCTCTGAGAGCTCTAAGACAGCCCTGAAACAAATCTAAGCATGGAAATATTCCGGAAGCATCAAAAGTCCTTTGGGAAGGATGCAGCCACCTACCCACAACCACATCACAGGGGCCACACCAAGCCCTGTAAGGCAGAACTGAGCACTCCTGGTAACTCCAACCCTGGCAGAAGAACTGCTTTATGACTTTGTGTCTTTTATCTGTGGGTTGCAAAATACATGAATACCATTGGGCATCTCAACATCCTTACAGGGAACAAACACTGCATCAGTGCTCTCACCAGGAAGGTGAAAACAGGTAACAAGTGACTGAGCTGAGAGGCCACATCTCTGCTTCAACCACCAAATATCCCTCTTTCATATCCCTCTTTCAGCCTTTCTTGCCATAAGAGACAAGGGACATCTTGTGTGTGCCAAGAGCTGATAATGTCTGTCAGATTTTCCAGCGGGCTGGGGCAGGTCCCTCCCCCCTGAGTGGCTGCACTCAGAACTTTATCAAAACCTCTTCTCCTCCCCTCCACCCACTGCCCTGGCAGCTGCTCAGGGCTTTCCAGGTGTGCCCCGTGCACACCAACCCAGCGCTGCAGGGATGAAGTTCTGCCCTTTCCCACACAGAGATCAAGGGAAGCACGGACTTTGACTCCAGAGGGGACTCTCCTTTCATGCTCCACTTTTTAGCCTATTGTGATACAGCTGCAGCCCAGGAAGAAGCAGAGATTTAGGGAAAAAAAAAATTCAGCTACAGCCCTTGTCCCTGTTCCACCTGCAGCCCCGGGTGTTGCTGCCCCCCTGGCAGGAGGGACTCTGGGTTCAGCAGCTCCAGGTAACCACGCCTGGCTGGCAGGGTGTCCCTCGGTGGCCGTGGGTAGGGGTGGCCCTGCCTCTCCAGGGACACTGGGACCTGGCTGTGTCTGGCACGTGGCACCGTCACCCCCCTCCCGTGGCACCTCTCCTGCCCCAGCTCCGGGCAGACACGGCCCCATCCCGGCCTCATTAAGGGATTACCCCGTATTTACAGCAAATCGCTGCAGGAAAACACGGCCCGAAACAGCCCAACAGCAATTAGCTGCTAACGAGTCTTCCAAGATAATCTACTGGACACTTGTGTCACAGTCCGGCCCTAATTGCTGCTTTAGCCCAGCTACAGCAGCCAAGAGCCACAAAACCCCTTTATCAGAGAAATCAATCAGTGGCTGCCGATGGCCACGGCCGCAGGGCAGGGGGGATTTTGCAGGGCTCACTGGGAAGGCTCCCGGTGATGCACAAGGATGAGGAACCCACCTCTAGCCCGGGCAGGCTTCTGAGAGTCACCAGGGGACAGAGGCCTGGAGAAGGGGGGGTCCCTGCCCTGCTGTCCCTCACTCAGGGGTCAGGGTGCTGGGGCAGCCAGGGGAGCTCTCCTGAGGGGTACTGGGGTGCACTCACATCCCCCAGGCAGGGCTTTCTTCTCTCATTCATTATTTTTCTACCTTTCTGCTGCTCTTCCCTCTCCCTGCTTGTCCAGCCTAGGATGCAGCACCTGGTTCCCATGCTCCAATAACTCCTGTTGCTCTGACAGCTCCCCAAACCCCGCGCTAATGCTGATGGCAGATGACAGGCAGCGAAAGCAGAAGCTCCATTTTAGGGGAAAAGTCATCAAGTCTGTTTACTGTTTGCTGTGTCCCCTGTATAAAGCCTCTGGGATCTCAAGCACTGATGCAGACACACGTCTGGAAACACACTTGCTCCCTCTGGAGCCTCTCCAGTACCGAGAGGCAGAGGAAAAAGGTTGGAGCAGTGACAACCACTCTCAGCCATGCCCACACATGATCCATGGTGATTAAGACTGGGATGACACTTGAAGCCTTTTGCACCAGAACCGTGTAAACTGTGGACAGGGTCTTGCATGGCAATGTTATTCCCACAAAGCTCTGGCATTAGAGCTGCAGGAGCCACAGTGAGGGGCAGCAGAGCTCCGGGTGCCAGCACGAGGCAGGGCTGTGCCCAGGAACCCTGGGCTGACAGCTCTGGAGCCCTGGACAAGGAGTGGGCAGAGACACCAAGCACAGCTCCTGTGGAGCCACAGCCTTACTCCCCACAGGTCCCTCCCTGCACTCCTGGGATCAGGAGGCTTTAGCAGGGCTATTTTCTCTGCTGCTGCTGCAGCAGGCCCCCAGCTCCCAATCCTCTCAGCGAGCTTTGCCTGCCTTGAACCAGATGAGGAAGCCAAGGCACTTCTCTGTCTGACAGATGGCAACTCACCCTAATCCACGAGCCCAGCCACGGGCCCGGCAGCAGCAGCAGCTGCCAAGGAAGCAGAGCCTTGTGACTGCCCCTCAGGTGAGGAGCTCACCACGTCTCCTCTGCACTGAGAAAGCTCTGGACATCTTGCCCTTCCCCAGCTCTCCCCTGCAGAGTGCAGGGAGATGGTGACACAAAACCAGTGATGCTTTAACTCCTGCAGCCCTGACATGGGCACTGCTGCTGGGTCTGTGCCAGGCCACAGGGATGGAGGATGCTCTGCAGTGGGGTCACTCCCTGCCCTGTGTGCTGGGCACCCCAGCTCTGCCCACCCTGCCTGCTCCCTCATGGATCACAACCAGGAGTAACTCCCACTCTCTGCCTCCTCCTGGTCTGCTTCTCCCCCAGACCTGGCAGTGCATTCCCAGCCACGAAGGAAGCTCAAAGTGATCCACAAAGGCTGAACTTCCAACCATGTGCAAGTTGGTGGCATCAACCTCCAATGAGCACTGCCATGGGAGCACCCCTGGACCCCCTTCCAAAAGCAATAGGGTGGACCCTGAGACCAAGAGCTGGTTCAGAGACAAGCATGCCTGCAGGCACTTTGGTCTGGAATTCTGGAGAGGCTGCTCCCTCCGTTCAGCTGCACTGTGCAGAGTGCTCAGCACAGAGGGAGCAGAGCATGGAACCCAGGAACACCCAGCACACACAGGCTGCACAGCTCAGGCCAGCACTGCTTACATTCCACCCTGGAAAATTGCCTTCTTGCTTACTTTCACAACTGTGCCTGTTTATACAGAAAGAGCCTGGCCCCTGAGCCTCCAGAAGGAGAAGAGTGAAGCAAAGTGGCTCAGTTGGTGTCTCGTGGTCCCACCAACCTCTCTGCTAATTAAGCAACTTGTGCTGTGTGTGCTACCAACTGGTTTGCAATCAAAAGGAAAACAGAGCACATTAAGGATGGCCCGAAGCCCAGCTGATGGGTTTTCCCAACCCAACCCCAGAGTCTGCTCTGACAGTGCCACGGGGGACACCACAGGTGGCAGGGGGGACACCACAGGTGGCAGGGGTCCTACCTTGGCCTTGCCCGTGCTCTGCAGGATGTGCACCAGCGCTGACGCCATCTCCTCCTTGTTCTTGACGCTCAGCGAGGGCTCCAGCACCGAGCACAGCACCATGTAGTTGTTGGTGATGTACTCAGCAAACTCCTTGTACATCTCCATGGGGAGGATGCTCATGCTCTGGTAGCGGGATTTGATGCGGATCATGGGCCCTGGGGACTTGCCCTTGCCAGGGTTGGGGCTCACCACTGGGTACCATTTCTCCACGAACTGCCGGCCCGTCACCGAGCTCACCGGGATGTTCACCTGCCCAATGAAGTTGGTCTTGTCCTTCTTCTTCTTCTTGTCAGTCTCTTTGTATAAGTGCACAGTAATGTTTTTGAGCGATGGGAGGTTATTAAATTCAAAGTGCTCCCCCCAAAAGACATTATCAGTTTTCAATTTACACGTAGTTCGTGCATAAAGAACGTCATCCAGGCATAATTCACACAAGTACTTTTTCTTAGCTGGAAGGTCCTTGGCTTCAATAATCCATAACTTTAACATATTCTCTACCCTTCTGCTGTTGTCCTGTAAAAAAGAGGTGGAAAAAAAAAGGTCAATAAAAAAACCTCACAAAGCCAAGAACAACAAAACTGGAGATATGAATTAATTATTTCGGATGTGCTAAATGAGCGGAGGCTTAATTACACTTTATTTTAAGGAAATACTGGCTCTCAAGAATTTGCATAATAACACTACTTATGTTAATTTTCCAAAATATCATCGTGCTCTCCATGTCTGTTGGTGCCAATTAATATAAGGAACAAGGAAGATAAAACCCCTCCAAATCATAAATGTACCATTTCCCATTCCCTGCCAAGAGGGCCTCTGAAGAATCTGAAAGAACCTCACTGGTCCTGAATGGTTTGTGCAAAGCAGAAGCTGTTACAGGTATTTCACAGCCTCCTCTCTTTCCAGCAGAGCTGCCTTACAGCAGCACTGAGTTCATGATATTTCCTGTAACACAGCAACACAAGGGGACCTGAATGCACACCCAGGGATCACCTCATCCACCAAAGGCAGGGAAAAACCTGTTTGTAAAACCTCACCATATTTTAGGGCAGAAGTCCAGAGCACCCAAGTTAAACACTGAGAGGAATCATGGGAGAGGGCATCCCATGGGAGAATCAAGACAATTCAGAGACAGAAATCTGCCTTGGATATCTTTTAAACAATACCAGAGCCAAGAATACCGTGGATCTTTCAGAGCTCCCTCGTGATGCTGACCTCATCCTGGAAGAACATCCAGGGGTATTTGCTGCAGGAGTGACTCCAAAGATAAAGCACTGGCAGCTGCACCACTGCTGGGATTCTGCAAACCCTGTTTTGTTTGGAAACCCCTCACTGAAACAGCAGCCACGGCTTTCTCTGCTCAGCCCAGGAGTCTGGGCAGGAACATTTCTGCTGCAAGTCCACAATGGGGTACTGTAGGTTCAGGAAGTACACACAGGAACTGCACAAGAACACTGAATTCCTGACAGAAATTCAAGCTGGACACTGAGAGTGTATTGTCTGTGAACTCAAACAAAGATGGAAAGTCAGCCATCAGTTACTGCAGGTTTTGAGATGCTGGAAACACTTCCAAATGGATTTCCACTCAACACTGCACCTTGAAGCCATAGTGACAGCCCAGCCCAGCTTGCATTCCCAGGAGTTCTCTCATGCTAAGTGTGACCACACAAACCTTACAGAGCCCTCTCAGGTCAGATCACCAGGAAAAGCCCTGGGAAAGTACTGGAGCAACTGAACTTCACTGGAGCAACATGCTGCCAGAGGCAGAAGGCCACTTCTCCCCTCCACTGCTCACACTCTGATATTACAGGAAATCTTTTATTCTGACATTTGGCACTGTGCTGGGAACAACAAACCCTGAGACTGAGGGCCCCTTCAGAACCCAGCAGGCCTGGACTGAATTAGTGTGCACAGCCAGAAGTTCACAGGATCCCATCATTTCTGTCTTCTCTGACCAGCAGAAGAAGACTTGGTTGAACTCATCAGCTGTGGAATCCTGCATTAATCCTGACCAATCTTTGCAGCCAACTCCAGCACAGCAGGGAAGAAACAGCTGTACATTTTATTTTAGGATGTACTTAGTCTTAGTGGGCCATAAAAATGCATATTGGGTGTCCCCGTGCTCTGGTGAAGAGAAGGATTTGTTCCTGTAAATCCCAGGGGAAGACTTTGCACCTCGACTGGCTGGAGAAGGGAAAGCTTCATTCCACTGTCACCTCTGAAAATGGGGACATCTGAGCTCCCCCATGACTAAAGCAGGAGCTGTGTCAGGAGCTGACACGTGAACTCCTCAGGCTGTTCAGCCTGGTGCCTTTGCTGGCAGCTACCTGACATCTGTCCCAAGGCTTCTGGGAGGTCACAGCCCCATGGAAGTGGCAAGGACCATCAGTAACAGCAGCACTGAAGATTCATCTGATCAATTCTTAGCAAGAGCTGAAGCAGCATGTGCTGAGAAGAGAGGGGAAGGAATAATTGGTGCTTGTCTGTAAATATAATTGTGGAAGAAAGCAATATGGAAAAAGGCTGACCCCGAGCTCCACTTACTCACTGCAATGACAATACATCCCCTGCTGCTCCCTGCACTGGGCTATAGGATGTAACAACTGGGGACTGAACTAGAGCAGAGGCAGCTCCTCCCAGGCCCTACCTTGTTGGGGTGCACGGCACGCCGCAGGTTCTCCATCCATTTATCTCGCTCTGCTGCCGAACGACACGAGAAGCATTTACTTCCTGATGAAGTCGTCACCTACAGGGAAAGGAACAGGATTATGTCCTGACCAGCACACTGCAGAGTGTGGCTGGGGAGAGAGGGGGGCTTAGGGAAGATGCTACTGGATTTTTTTTTTTTTTAAGTGAACAGCTTTACCCAAGCATGAAGCAACAGCCCCTAAGGCTGGTGGAAAAACAGGACAACTCTGTATGTCACAGAAATAATCATAGAAGCAAACTCCAATTACTTCTCCCCTTCCACACCAGAAAACACTAGATAATGGGCCCCATGCATGTGATGCTTTAAACCACCAAGTTCCACAACTGAGGGAGTGCAAATCCTCAGATGAACTAAAGATAAATTGGAACTCTGAGTGGTTATTTGGCATTCCTCCAGGCTCAGCCCAAAGCCTGTGACAGTAACAACCCATTCCTTGTTCCCAGCAGAACACTGCCTCAAAAAGCCTGCTTTCCCACCTTCGCCCTTGGTGTCCTGTGGCTCCTGGAGCCCTTGCTGTGAAGACCATGGGGACAGGTGTGCACAGCCCCTCCTGGCCATGGCCCAGCTGGGGCACTCAGAGCTCACAGCACCCATCCCCAGCTGGGGAGAACCAGGGGGGCTTCCCAACCTGGACATGGCTGGAAGTGCTGCTGAGCCCTCCTCTCACCTCTCATGCTTCCAGATCAAGGGATTTTCTGCAGTATTTTGTTGACTTTCTCTGGCCATTGGGAGTTCATAGCCAGGGTTTAAGAAACACACTCACAGCAGTGACATTTCCAGTGGTGCAAGTGCCCCTTATTCCTCATCACACTCCTGCTATCCCAAGGAAAGCCAATCCTGCTGAGCCCATGGAAGCATCACTGTCTGGCAGCCCAGAATGACAGGCACCAAATTTCCTTCCTATGCCCCCATGTCAAACTTCCTTGGCATCAAAGCCAACAGCTCCCTGCACCTGCTCCTCACACACAGATATTCCCCAAGCTGCCACCTCCTCCACTCGTGCTGCTCCTGGCCACCAGGAAGGTGGCTCCAGCTCTCTGCCCTTTGCATTTCTTTTGCCCAGCAATATTCAGCATGTACAGCTCTGCTGGGAGGCTGAATGGACCTGGCTGGTACTTTAAATAACTCCCCTCTGAGCTTCATTTCCGCCAGTCTCAACCTGCAGAGTTATTTGTGAGTGCTTTATCATCTCCCAGTGTTTGTGTTTACACACTGTGCACTGGGTTATCAGCTTCTGGGAGACACAATCTCCTTTAATTTCATGTATCTCCCAGAAGCCCAACCTGTTCTTACAGCAGAGCTGGCACTTGCTAAGATTTGTCATTAGCAAACCTCCATGATAAGTTGAGCACATCCCCTCCTTTGAACACAGACCAGGGCAGAATGAGGAGAGGCTGTTCTGTCTTTACACAAAAACACAAAGAATCTTCCAACCCTTGGTATTCCAGAGGCTTTCTCCTTCCTTTTCAGAGAGGAATTCTTCCAGTCCTTGCACCCTTTTATATTCTGCCTGTAAAATACATTCAGCTGAGCACTCCAGCTCTCCTGGAGTTCCAAGAACAGACTCCATACCAGCAGGCCCAGCAGTGTCACCTTTCCAGCCTCCATTCACACTCAGAGCATTTCCAGCTTATCCAGAATCTCCCATGACAAACCCCCCTGCCCCATCTCCTCTCCACTGCTGCTGATGCTCCTTTCACCTCCATCCTTGAGCCTTCCCAACAGAGCTCTGCTGGCACACAGGACTGTCACTGTGTTCTCTTGCCACACTTAGGTAAACACATGCATTATCATGGCCAAATTCCTTATTCTATTTTAAACCAATTATAAATTAATCTTTCAAAACCTAAAAAAACTGTAACTGTCATACTGAAGTGAGAGAAGAGGAAAATTGTGTGTCAGATATGAAATGTGTCTTGGTCTGATGGGAGCTGAAGATCACATCTACCATGTGTGACCAAAAATCTAATTTCCCCCAGATTTGTAATCAGATACCAGCTTTGAGTTCTGACTTAAATATCATATGGCATTAATGATCTTTATGAGATATTAATTAACTTTATAAAGAGAGTATTCTGGTCTCATCAAGATTTTGGATATACTGGAATGCTGTTAATGTACAGGACAAACTCAATTAATAAAACTCATTAATTCCTGAAATGTTACTTTTCCTATTCATTATGCCCAGTCCTTGGATGGACAATCTGTCCAGATAAAATCTTGTCTTTTCAAGACAGTCCTGAGGTACAGGGTGGCTTCACTTGAGGGGCCATGCATGGAGTACCAGGGGATGCTAACTGAGCACTGAGGGTGCTTCACTCCTGTCCAGGGGATTTTCCAAGGCTCACTCAGGGCTCAGCTGCACCCCTGGCCCTGCAGCTGCTCCAGGCATGAAGGGCCACGCGAGCAATGGCCAACGTTTGCACAGCTGGATCCAATTTACTGCTGCTAAATTTAGCTCCACTAAATTCTCCCTTGCTGAGCAAGGCCAGGATGAGGCAACAAGCTCAGCTGTATTGGAGCAATCAGAGTTTGTCTTTCGCTCAGCTGTATCCTGGGACGGTTCATGCACGACTGTGCAAGGGGACAAGGCTTTGGTCTGCCAAGACCTAAGAGAGCCCCTCAGCCCTAATGGCCCTGCCTGGCCCAGGGCCTCCAAAATCCAGGGCCAGGAACAGGCTCTGGGAGCCTGGGCTCTGAGCCTCTGCTCCTGGCTGAGATGCCCACTGTATATTTAGCACACGCAGCACGTGCAGTGGCACGGGATGATTTGCTGACTGAGGAGTCTTGCAAGGAGAAAGAAGATGATGCTGAGTAATTTAAAAAAAAAATCAATGAAGGAAACAAGTAAATACTGACTGCCAAGTACTCAGCAAGTGAGAAAAAAGCAAGTTTCACAAAACTAAGTAAGCAGAAAAAGCCAAATGCAGCCTGTGGAAAAGCCCTGCCCTGGTACTGATGGTGCTCCCTGGCAGAGCTGAGGGGAGCAGGGCTGAGCACGTCTGAATGCAGGGTGGTGGGGACAGAAGGGAGGAACAATTCCCTGCACCTTCATCCACCAGCTGCCTCCCAAGGAGCCACTTGGTTGTTTTCCACTGCAGATGGCTCTGGCACCTCTCGCTTTTGTCTCCGTCTGGGTGTGCTGCCAGTTCCTCTCCAAGCTGCTCTGCTCCATCTGCAGCCGTGTCAGATCCTCCTGGCCCGTTCCCCGGGGGAGGAGCTGTGTCAGGTGAGCACCAATGGCCCCAGGCCAGCTGGGGATGGAACAGCTCCGGGCACTGTCCCTGCCTGGCCACCAGAAGGTGAAGGGTTGAGCAGGGCTGGCAGTGCCCAGCAGGAGCCTCAGTGCCCAGCTGGGGACACCAGCCCTGCCTGGCCCCAACGCTTCTCCCGAGGGAGCAGCTCCACAACAGCCTCAAGGGGCAGGGATGAGGCACCACCACCAACTGCAGCACCTTCCCCACCCACTGCACAGAAAACACCTCAGCTCCCCTCATCCCTGTGATCCTTCTCACCTGGCATTTCTTGGCCAGGGCTGCTTCTCCAGGACATCCCCTGAGCTCCGTGGTGTCCCTCAGTGGTACCCCAGTGCTGTGGGCTGTAGTCACTGCCTGGCCCCCAGCTGGGATCCCAGACTGCAAACTCACTCCAGTGCTGACCTCACTGCCACTTCCAGAGGCTCTCAGGAGCCACCAGACCAGGGCATTGACACAAAGTGCCATTAGGCTCTCACCTCGGTGCCTCCTGCTGGAGCTTGTTGGTGAGCAGCCACCAGTGACAAATCAATGTCCCTGTTGTTTCCTGGCATTCTTCCTCTCCTCTGCAGGGTTTGCAGAACAGCAATTAACACGTTCTTTTTTTACAGTGTGACTTCTCTTTATCCAACTCATTTAACCCCAAAATTTTCTTCCTCCTTCCAAGTGCTTGGCTTGTATAACTTTCCTCTCACTCAACTTTCTACAAGTTCTGTTCATATCCCTTCCTCTCCTCTTGTGGGCTGAACAGAATTGGTAAACAACTCTTATATTATGGATGTCACATCTATTTTCCATCTAGCTTCATTTTATCTTTCTTGAGTGGAATGTAATAGAGGACACATAATTTACAAAACTGTTCCCCTCCTGACCCATTGCACTTGCTCAATTCCACAAAGAATGAACAGCAATGCAAAATTTATACTTCAGCCAACAGAGTTTATGTTTGAGGCTATTCTTTTGTAAGACTGTTTTCATGTTATATTTTAAGAAATAGATCTTTTAACTCACTCATTTCAAAATGTGCTGATTTCAGTAAAGAAAAATGTCTTTATCTTTCCAGTCTGATTCCTCTGAACACTGGCATGTATTCTCATCCAGCACTGCCCATCCAAGGACAGCCTGCAGCCCCATCACCCCTACAGCACAATCCAAATACAGCTACACCATTTATCTGCTTCTCTGTGTCCAAGCACAAACAGGTGTTACCTGCTCTTCACAAATATCCAGTGCCTTATTACTGTAAGAAAACCATTTCCCAGTTCTGTACCCTGCCACTGCCATAAGCAATAATACTTTGCCATCCACAATTCAGGACAAATGATTCCCAAGATATCCTGTACTGAATTATCCAGCTACAGCCTGGGTTGTACGTGTCCTCCTCCCTCCTGCTAGCACAGACCTTACCACATGCCATAACAGATGTCAAAGGAATCTGAAATGCTCACAGATTTTTCTATTTACCCAAACAAGGGAAGCTTCAGTTTTCTAGACAAAGTCCTCCACACTCCCACTGACAGCAGCAGGCTGGCTCTGTGACCACATGCAATGTCTCTGGGAGCCCTGAGTAGGGATTAGCACTTCCCAGTATCTGTATGAACATAAACTGTAGGGGCATAAACAAATTCATGCTCTGCTGATACACAGCCCTAAGCAGTGCAGCACCTGTGCCAGCAGCTCTGCTTTACAAGGAGCTCATTGCTCTGATTGTGTGGATATGATCCTCCTTGGAAAGATGGGAGCAATTTTCTGCCTATGAAATGGTCTCTGTGCAGCAATTCTGAGCAGCAATGTTTGGAAACAGCCAGGCCCCAGATGCCAGCCCACACCTGGCTCCCCAGAACAGCCCCAGCACGGCTCCTTACCTCAAAGCAGTAGTCCTGTCCCAGGATGCTACTGTGGACTGGCTTGATGACCACCTCCTCCTCCATGCTGAGATCCAGAGCCTCAACAGCACTACTGGGACTGAGCAGGGACTCGTGGGAGCGCGACTCCTTCAGCCTCGGCATTAGATGGGATCTGGAGGAACACAGAACAGTGTCAGAGGATGCTCTCCTTCCCAGAGAACCCTGCCAGCAACATCTGCTAGCAACAACTGCACAATATTCCTGGGAATGTTCTGCCATGAAATAACCGAGGGCCCTGAAGAACAAGGCTTGTTACACTGTCCCATTTGTAATTTCTACTCTAAAGGTTCTGTAACAGGCAGTATGAGCAGTAAAACAATTTTTCCCAACTCCAATGCAGTCAGGAGTCAATTCTTTAGAGGTTTGCACACTGTGGGGTCTCTGAACAACTGAATCAAACTCTGAATAGCCACCACACCTGCTGAGGGAGCCTTCCCAGGTGTGGGGTGCAGCAGTGGGGATGCACTGGAGGCCAGCTGGCTGCAGCACCTGCTGCTCTCTCAGCAGCACCACCAGGTCTACAGCTCAGGTGCTGAGCTCTGGTGGTGCCAGAACCTCACCAGAACAGCCACATCTGGACGTGCACTCTGTCACCAACAACCCTTGGGCTCGTGAGCTCTCTCTGATTGTCACACACACCCCTGGGATGGGGACAGTGTGGAAAATGAGGCTGTGATAGCCCTATGGATTGATCTAAATGCTCTGGAGTCCCACTGGCAGCATTTAGCAGCGGGGAGCCCACAGACAGTGAGCAGAGCACCATTTTTGAGACAGCCAATACAATCAATGGTGCTGTAACTCTTAAAGCAAAACCAGAGAGCTCAAGGGGAAGAAAAAAAAAAAGAAAGATAGTTAAGTACTCCCAGGGAAAACACAGCAAACCCATGAAGTGGTAAGGGAAAAAATAACTTGAGTGCAAAGGGAGCAGCTGCCTTCTCTATAGCCTGCACCACATCAGATGTTCCTAGGCCAGAGCTCTGATCCTGGTAACTCTGACCTTCAAAACCTCTGGCAAGCACTTGGGGGCTCCCAAAGAGACCAAATGTCCCTGCCACAAAGGGGCTGTGACGCCTTCTCCAAAGGCACGGAAGGACAGCAAGAAGGGGAGTTTGTGATATTCTCAGCATGGTCTTTCATGGGTCAAACAACAATGCTCCCAGTATGCTCCCAGCTTGCTCTGGTGTGTGAGCTGGGTTCTGTTGTTCTCCAGAATGAAGCTGACCAAAACAGAGAGAAATGTCAACAGTGCATGCAAAATTCATCGCTTGCAGTGAATCACACACCAGGCTGGATGCAGAAAACAGCCCAAGGAGATCCTCAGATGAACAGCAGCAGCAGATAAACAGGTGCTTCTCTAGATTTGCCATTAAGATTCAGGCCATGCACAAGCCCCAGGTGATAATGGAACTGCCTGTGGCTGTTCCCTGCCTGAGCTGCTCCATGGACAGCTCTGAGTGCCAGGGCCACCTCCTCCCCAGGGACACCAGCCTGGGACACACTGCCCGAGGGCTCTGGGACACCCAGGGTGCTCCCTGCACCTGCCAGGGCACCAGCCAGGACAGCTGTGGTGACACCACTGCAACATCTGCACAGCAGCCACCAGCCCAGCCTTTCTGAGGGGACAGCCTGCAGCCCCCCGTGCTGAAAGCCCTGCTGGGGTCAGCACAGTCCTGGGCTGCATCAGAAGCCCTAAGGCTCCCCATGCCATTAGCCATTCTCTCAGCTGCCCACTCACCCCACAGCTCTGTGGTGAGTAAATTGATCTTTAGGAACCCAGCACAGTCATTTCCCAGTACTTTGTGGCAATTTTACACTATCTTCAGAGAAAAGGGTCCCTATCCTTTTCCTCTGAATGATACTGTAAATGAACTCTAATACAGGCAGACAGATCAAGTTACCTCTGGATGCTGAGTGCAGAACTAATATCTAGGAGCTCAAGAACTGACAATACAGACTTCTCACCCAGCCCAGATAAGCCCAGAATCAAGGCATTTCTGGTAAATCTTATTTCCATATTTTACAGATGAAATTAGAAAAGGTAAATAACCAAGTTGAGACTTGCATTCTTGTGTACACAAATATAAATACTGATAAAATAAACCACAACTCAGTACATCACTGAGTTGCATCGCCTCATGCTGGCCTAAGAATTTTTGTAAAAAATGGAAACAAAACAAGTCTACTTTTCATTTAAAATGACTGCAGCTGGATGGCCCCGGGTGGGAGTGCAGATGTGCTATTTGAAGGATTACCAAGGGGGAGTTTCTCAGGACACACTATGCTCCCACCAGATTCAGCAAATGTGTGTTTATATCCCTCCACACTCTGCCAAATGCCTCTGGGAATCCTAAAATGAAGGGGACTTTTTCATGGAGTTATTTGTCAGGTCCTCTCCTCAGCAGGACCTGCTCCCACGATGTCAGTCCCTCCCCCTGGCCGCTGGGATCCAGCCCAGGTCAGCAGCAGACACATTTCTCACCAGATGCTGCTCTGTGCAGGGGAGTGCTGCAGGTCTCCAACCAGCCCTAAAACCCAGCATCTGCCTGTGTACCAAGGGCTAAGTGGGGAGATGTCATTAATTAGAGCTGTGGCAATCTCAGCAGCAGGGATGAGGATCTCTCTGCCAGAGCAGTCCTGGCAGGGCAGGACGAGCAGAGCCCCCCTCCCAGGGCTCTGTCCCACCCCTGCCTTCCAAGGGCACATGGTCCTTTCACTTTAATCCCTGTTCCAGGGCAGAGAGCACTTGTGTCCCTTAGTGACATGGCACTGTGGCAGGAGCCCATTTACTGGAGAACATTTGCCAGTCCCCATCGCTGCTCCCACAGACTTCCCCTCGTACCAGCAGTAGAGAAAGGCCACAGGCTGCTCTCCTGAGCCTGAGAGCAGCACCCACAGCGACAGGGACACCTGAGCCCTGCAGACCTGTGCTGGCCATCAGCCCCCCGAACAGGCAAACACACCTGAACACCATCTGCTGACAGTGAAAACACCTCCAGGGGACAGAGGGACCTTGCTCACATCCATCCCCCTACCACCCCTGTGCAGATGCTGCCTGTGGGGCTGTCCTGTCCCCTGCTCCAGTAACTTGCTGTGTACTCCAGGTCCTGTCCTGGTTTACGTCAGCTGATCCAATTCCAATCCTACACCTTTGTTTTAATAGCTGGGAACGGCCAGCTGCCCAGAGCCATCTCACAACAGGAACCCTCTTTCCAAACAGCACATTCAGTTCTTTTTGCCAAGGGCCTTTTTTAAATCCCTTTTTACTTGCCTAAAGTTCAGTTGAAATGAAGGGGGGAGGAAAAAAATCTCATAAAAGACCACATTAGTTCTAAAGAGAAATAACATTACTGCTACCGGCACTGACCTGGCGAGTCCTGCGGAGCAGCACCAGTCTCTGGTTATTAAAGAAAGAGCTCTGCTGCCCGAGAGCAACCAGAGAGGATTGTTGTGCTAAATAATAAAAGTCATAAAACATTACCATGTGAAGGGATGTATCCCCTCTGCCTGTGCCCTCCACAGCCACTTGAGTGTCACCAAATCCAACCAGGACCACGTGGACTGCAGGGAAGACTCGTGAAAACAAGGATGGAGAGGCAATCCATCCTCTCCTCACCCAACTCCAGGGCTGGGTTTTGAGCAATGGAGGCAGCAAACAGTGCTGCAAAGAGGCAACTCTGTCAGTCCTGATTTCAGAGCCTCACCTGCCTGAAACCACCCGGCTGCTGCTCCTGTGGTTTTATGATGAAAACGTTCCTGATTATTTCTGAGAGACAGAAACAAACAGAGAACCTGGTGGGTGGCTGCACAGGGATGGAGCAGACACAAAACACTGAAGCAAAGAGGGGGAAAAATGAAGAACCTCTCTTAAATCTCCTACTGTTCTGCTCTGAGAACATGAGCAGATTGGGGAATTCTGAAGGAAGTCCAGGCCCTCAGCTGAAGAAGCCCCACTGGCACCAGCTGCAGAGCTGGCAGTGCATGCTTCCCCATGTCAGAAGGATTTGATCTCCCAAATTATGTTTGACTCTGTGGCACTTCTCCTGGCCAGGGAAGATTCTCTGAGTGCAGCTTTTGGAGGCTGACAGTTCTTTTGTGTGCCCAGCTGGGTGCAGGTTCTCTAGGGCAGCCCTGGTCCCCTCCCCTGCACTCGCCCGCTGCAGGGGTCCCAAGCACAGCAGAACAGATCCACACCCGGCACAGACAGAATCTAAATCTGTCTCCAGCCCGGGGATTAGGGGTTTGTTATGACTGAGAACAAAGTGCACAACTCCAGTAAATTGATTTGCAACATCAGATGGGAGAAGGATTTTAGCAGTCGCAGATGGGAGTAAATCACCCGCCATGCCCTGCCCTGTGCCACAGCCTCTCTGCTGCTGGCTCACTCTGGGGCTACGCTCTGCAGGGCCCCACTGCTCTCCTCTGCTTCCCTCTCTCCTGCACAGCAGCTCTGCTCTCCCCAGGGCTCAGCAGCGCCTGTGTGACCGCCCCGCCGGGGCCAGCTTCCCACTGACCTCCCACCACCGCTGGGAGTTCACATCCCTTCCTCCCCTGCGCCTCATCCTGCTTCAATGTAACAAATAAATATGAAAGCGCTGTTATGGGAATAACCACCACCAACAGCACACAAGAGAACTCGCAGGCTTCCAGAAGATGAAGAATGTTATTTTTTCCTGCAGAAGAGGACGTGGGGATGAAGTCTCAGCATGCAGCAGCACACCCTTCTCCATGTTCTGCTGCCCTGAACTTTCTCCTGCCGTTCCCAGAACCCCAGCTGCTGATCTCGGCCTGGGAAACTCTGCTCAGCATACTCAGGATGGGAACCTGGCGTTACAGGTTGCCCTCACTAGTGCAACACCTTCCCTGAGCAACACAAAGGACATGTAATTAAACTTATTAATGCCTGCCCTTGTTTTCAGACTGTTCTCAGTTTCAACTGGCAGCAGGATTAATTACATTCAGAAGGACTCTGTCAGCTCGTACCAGATTCCAAACGTTGTTTTTGCCAGAGCAAACCTGAAGGATGATTTTAACCTGTGACATTCACCTGAGCATGGATATTTGTTTAACAACGTGCCACTGCAAAGTTTGTCGGGGCAGCCTGCAAGCCCAGCACAGGA